AAGGTATACGGTTTAATCACCGAATTGACCTTGCAGAATATTTCATTCCCTCTCACCGGGAGGAGTTTAAACATGGTCAGCTAATGAAAGAGGAAGAAAACCTCAATACACATGTTCAGACAATCAGGATGTAACCATTATACACACACCTACATGTACAGGAAAATGTAGATTACATGGTTAAAAGTCCTGAACTATACACATTGTGTACTAAAGCATCTTACCGGATGTGCCTCTGACGGATGAGCACACGAGCATGGTGGATGCTCTTGGCGAGGCCAAGCTTGAAGACCTGAGTCTGCAGCCTCCTCTCCAAGAAGTCCTCCACTTTCAAGCCCAGAATGTAATCGAGCTTCATCTTACCCTCATCCAGCACACCAATGCGCACCAGACGCCTGAGCAAAGCATTACCTAGAAGTAGAAGTTAAACATAAGTGGGAGGAAGACTGATGGATGCAAACCAGACATTAAATTATTATAAGTAGTTATATGGCCTCATTGACGAGGAATTCTTGGCAACACTGAAAATCTGACATGTACTTTTAAATCACTGGCCATAAAAGTTTGACAAATCAGCTAACTTACCTTCGAAGAGACGCTTAGGATCCTTCTCGTCCAGAGTGAGAAGCTCTCTGGCAGCTTTGCGGATTTTGGCTAGAGTGAACTTCACCCGCCAGACCTCCCTCTTATTCCTGAGGCCATACTCGCCTGAGAAGAAAAAGAAAACCAGATTTAAAAAAAAAGAAAACTTTGTCGATTAATTTCCTGCAATTAATTTTTTTCCTTACCAATGAGTTTCAACTCCTGGTCGAGACGAGACTTCTCGAAGGGACGTCTGGGGGTGACGTACGTCTTACTACAAACCCAGCTCCTGGCAACCGGCATGGCGACTTACTGACGCCTGTGAATAAAATAATTCATATAAAAATGAAGAGTGGTAATGCATTTATACTTTAACACTCATTCACGTATCTAGTACTGGTAATTACATTACACTTCATATCAATATTTTATCATGGGACCAAATTCCGATTCAGCAATTCAAATTCCAATTTAAAAACCTCAATAAACTCAACAGCTCAAGGTGGAGATTCTTTTTAATATGAAAAACAGCGCAATGCGTCGCTTCATGACCGACGTTAGGCCTGAACGCGCCTTGTGAAACACGTTGCGCCAAGCAGAACGTTACAACTAATCTCGCCACATAATATAACCTACTAACAAGGTACCGCGCATATAAAACTGCCCCTTTCTACATAATACATGAAATAGCGTCTGAGGGAAACCGTTAACCCTTGCGCCCAGCGGGAAATTTGACCAGAAACACTGAGATCTATGCCGCCATTACCTGTCTGTGTCAGGCTCGTAAAGGAAAGAGAACGTGTGGCCGGACTTCCCGGACATTTATACGTGCCTTATCAACTACATTACCCACAAAGCTTTGCGAGTACGGCAAGAACTGTTTTCCGTTAACATAACGACTTGCATTGAATTGCCTGCTTCCCTCTGCTTCCCTCTACTGGTCAAAATATGAATCGAGAGAGAGAGAGAGAGAGACAGAGAGAGTTTTATGTAGATCCACAAAATACATTAAAAAGCCTTATTATCTACAATTGAGCGAACAGATGATAATTAACGTAAGTTCCCACAGAATATTTTTTTTCCCACAGAAGAATTTGTACTTGCTATATTCAGGTACCATCGGAAATATCATATTTATTAATTCCGACCACACGAATAGCCAACGAAGTCGTATTTACAAGTGAAAAACCTGATTGCCGTGTTGCTGGACTGTTTTGACAATGGTAATTGATTATGGCATTGGAATGATTTTAATTCCGTGCTGCATTTCTGTTATAATTAGGCGCTATAGGAGAGCTTCTAGAGAAAAAAAAGTCACTCACCTTTGAAGGGTCACATTGACGGGTATAATGAGCATAAAGGCAGTATTCAATTAATGAGACAAATTACAGTTTTTCTTCTCACAGCACTGTAAAATTGTAAATGCCTTAAACTATTTATTTATTTATTTATTTATAGGTGGAGATTGCTTTATAGGTGCGCAAGGCAAAACATTGTTTTTTTATGTCTGTGGCTTTACATTTGAGACTTTTTAAGGTAGCATTTGCTTGTGTCTGTTTCAGTAGATGCCAGATGGCAAATCTGTGTCATTAAATTTGGACTAAATTCTGTATTACTGTGCGACTAGCTGTTTAATTTCTATTGGTGATACTAGCACAACTAAAGGAAGAAGGTGGACTATTTATAAAGGAGTGTAACACAACTCTGAACATGTGTTTCTGTCTATCAAATATACCCACTGACACACACACACACACGCAGAATGCCACAACTGTCCAATCAGAATCAAGTATTCCACAGAGCCTTGTAATATAGGAGTATAGACTACATAAGCAGTTCTTGTCATCAGTTCTGTGTGTGTGTGTGTGTGTGTGTGTGTGTGTGTTTGAATGATCCCGCAGCTGTCAGATCACGCACCTGGCATCCTGCCTCTGATCTTTAACCCCAAACCTGACAGCTGATGAGGCCTGTGTGTGTGTGTGTGTGTGTGAGGGGGAGGACATCTCCTATCAATCAGTGTGACTGAAAATACATTTTATCTGCTAGAGGTGTTATTTAAATTCTCTCACAGTGACAAAGAATTAGGACGGGAAAGAGAACAGTTTATGTAAAAAAAATCTCAGGAGATAACCTTTGCATGTTAGATAGCAGCTAATGGAGTGTGCCTGAACAATTATATCACGTTTATGATTGTTCTCCATATCCTCTGCACTAGAACATGGAGGGGTGTTGTGAATGTAAGTTATAAGTGTATGTAAATATCTCAGCAAGTGTGTACACTTTGTACTTGTTGAATAAAGTCTCCAAAGTCTGAAGTCTTCATTTTGATCTTTGACTTGGTCTACGGCCAGCAGCAACGGCACACTGAGTGACATTTTGAGTCAGCAGTACTCAAAACGCTGTAGTGTTTCAGACAACACCTGTTTACATCTCGTAAATCTTTTACAGGGGTGTCAAGTAGCTCCTGGGTTTTTTAAAAAAAGGAATGAAGGTAAGATGCCATGTTCTTGTAATCAGTGAGTAACTGTGGTATATAACATCCCATCTGAAAAAATGGCTATGATGAGAAACAGACACTGATGTAACATGAAACTTTTGTTTCTGCTAAAGGAATCTAAGTGTGGTGGTAGTGATATTTAATCAAAGCTGTGTCTCTCATTGTCACAGTTTATCAGTGAAGTCTAAATTTACTCTGCCTTATCAGCTCAGCGAAACAGCTGATAAAGAGTAAACATATAAAAGTGTGTGTGTGTGAAAAGCTTCATATTGGTTTCATTTCTTTATGTCTATTTTTTTATTTTACTTTATTTTAAGACTCGGTAATGTAACCTTTAAAAAAAACTCTCTGAAATGAAAGGTTTATGTCACAAAAGTCTATTAACCAAAGATTGATGATACCACAGTAATTCGAATTTTCTGCATAAAATGTATTATAGTTTGTATTTGATTGAATTTAATATCTTAAGTTTCCAATTTTCTGTTTGGAGAACTCTAAGCGAATTGTTACTTGAATGTGTTTGAGTGATCTTACCTGTTTTACCTGATCTATAGCATACAAAATGTACACACTTCAGTAGTCACAGAAATCTGGTTGGTCTGGTTTAAGTAAATAAATCAATGTGATTGTTTTCCACTGAACATGAATAGGGTCACTGAGTTTTACAGAGCAGTTGAGTTGTTCGTCTGTTAGAATCAACTTTTATCCAAATAGTCGTATGTCTGTTGAGTGTCAAAGAGTCGGAGGGGGAAATGGGTTGATGATTGAAATGAACACAGTTGGTGTAAAGACCCCTCTTGAGACTGGTTTGGTGCTCTGTGATTGGTGGGTGTGAGGGACTTATGGTGGGGTGGGAGGGTCAAAGCTTTGCATTAAAGCATGCGTCAGTTGTTGGTGAGTATTGGGTCGCCTGCGGAATGCACTGAAGGGGTGAGATGTCTGATTTATACTCCTAATTTCATACATTGTGTCTTTGTCAGGATCTTTATTTGATGTCTTGACTTGGTTTACCTGTGTTTTGTATAGTCTTTATGATCTGCAAACAAAACGGTAACAGTATGTTAGCTTCTTTACAGGCGGTAAATTCAGGTCAGTTTTATTTGGTGCAAAAATTTTTACCAAAATGAAGGTGGTATAGTATGGATTTGTTGGACATGCTTTTTTGACTATTCTTTAAGAAAAGCAGATTTTCAATACCTTCCAGAAATTACTTTTGTGGAAAAATCAGTTGCTGATAAGAATACTTATGTCAAATATATACACTATGAAACTATATTGCTGATCAGTTGCTAAAAGTTTCATCAAACTGACTATTAAACTGACTTGAAAAAACAAGCTGAATCTTGTATAATAATAATTTAAAAAAGTGAAAATTGGTTAAAATGATTTTGGTGGGTTAAAGTAATGTAAAAACATATGTTACCGTGACTCAATGAGTTTACAGAAATTAGCTTCTGTTAGTAAACAGCATATCTGTCTCATTTTAGGGTGCCGCTGCCCAAGAGGCGGGGCCAGGCAATGGTGACCCTTCACTTTCCCAGGTCTATGCCCCGCCTCCATCATATCCTCCACCTGGACAAGGCCCACCCACACCTGCTGCCCGGCTGCCACCTCTCGATTTCAGCGCTGCTCATCCAAGCTCTGAATATTCAGATCATCATCAGTTGAGAGTCTATCAAGGCTCTCAGCATGACGGGACAGAGTCTATAACTGCCAATAACACGGTAAGAACAATCAATAAATGACTGGATTCAGAAGATAAAGCTATTTTAAACATCAGTTAACAAAGGGGAGCTGCATCTAAAGTACATGTGGATAAATAAATAAATAGTTAGTTTTACATATATTTTACAACTTAACATATGAAATAATGAACTAAACTAAAATAACTCAATATATAAATCAAGCACAAACATTTATTTAAAAAACCTAATTTACCTAAAACCAAGCATACCCATGTGAGTATGAAAAATTAAGATTTTACAATGGGAAGCAATGTCCCACTGCTGTAAATTGTGTAGTACAATCAGCGTGTATTCTTTTCAAATGTATTTGCATTAGAGAAGGTATGCCAGGAATATGTATAGGCTGCTGATATATAATCTCATGCTTTGGTCCTCTGGGATCCCCTGTCTGAGATAGCTAAAAATAGCTTTATGTCCTTTACACATCCTTCCTTTGCCTTGTCCAAGTATGGCAATTCAACTGGCTCAGGGCACCATATAGAAGAATATTTAGGCTTATTATGGAAGAAACACTAACCATACTTCCTTTTCTACTCTCTAGTTCTCTTTTCTAAGAGGGAATAATTTGAAGTAATCTTCTATGTTTATATAAAAATAAATAATAGTTTAGAACTAATCTTTCTACTTTACATTTACTCTTAAGGTAAATCATATTCAGTTTGATTTTGAATCAGGTGTTTTCCAGTTAATACTTTATGCCAAGAGTTTTCAAGCTGTGGTCAGGAGACCCCCAGAGGGCCACAATGCGGTGCTCATGTCTGCAGAAGATTTGAGATCAAGGGAGAAAAAAAATATTACAAAATGCATTTTTTAGTGCTATCAAAGTTTACAGAAGAATCAGAAGAAGAATCATCAAATTTTGGGGTCCTTGGCATTAAAAAGTTTGAAAATTCCTGATATAATCCCTGATTACTCTACAGTATGACACATATTGTCATACACTGTGTATTTTACCCAGTCAATCAATCTGGAATACTTTAATTTAGTTGAATAACTTGAACAAATTAAAGACTTTTTGACTTGATAAATTCAATCTTGTGATTTTAAGTGTGATCAATGTAAAGAGATGCATTTACTAATGCTTTCTTAAGACACCAGTAATGAGATGTCAGTCATGAATCCAGATGTAAATATTGTCTTGACAATCTGTAATTACTGAAATATTGTCTTTTGGACTCATGCCATAGCTTGTTCTTTAATGTGTATCACCATATAAGTGTATGATTGTTATTGTTGTGTTACTAATGGCTCATCGGGTATAGTAATTGCAGAAGGCATTTTAAGTTGTGCCAAGGGAATTGTGGGAAGAATTGAAAATAATATTTCACCATGAAAGTTTTTTTTCATTGAAAAGGTTCATGCAATGAGTTCTCTCTTTCTCTGTCACACCATCTTCTGTCCACATTGCTTATACCACTAGAGAGCGCCAGATATTTGGACTATGAGACGCCGCCGTGGAGGGAGGGGTCAAGGGGGGGAGACGGACAGGATGACCCCTCCCCCCTCATCTATGTTTCCCAGGTCCAGTCAGAAAAGCACTCTGCATCGTGACGTGATATCATCACATACCTTCCCATCACACCTTTCCCCTGTCTGTCACTTCTCCCAAAAACCCTCCCTGGCCTGTGTCTCTGGATGAATGTAATCATGATGATGATGATGATGATGATGATGGTGTTTCAGCAGTATTTTCTGTGTGACACCTGCTGTGGTAGTCATTACAGCTAGCAACCAGCCCGGCCAGCTCAGAGTTAACCATAACCATGATTTGTTTGCGTGTGTGAATGTGTGTGTGTGTGTGTGTGTGTGTGTGTGTGTGTCTGTGCGTAAATCTCTACGTGTGTTTCCTGCCTCTTCCTTCCTTATTAATATAAAATGATCTGTCTTGGTTCCAAGAATAGCAGTATACGTTGTTGCAGTTTTGCAGCTGACCTTTAAAGTTATACGCTGAAATACGTAAGCTGCTTGAATTCCCCTGTGCTTAGAGCTCCTCTCTTTCACTTTCTGTTTTGGGGTTCACTCGGTTCTTGACTCTTCCTTACCTTCTTGACCTATTAGGATCAACAACACCCATCATTTCTCTTTTTTGCTACTTTATTGTCTGTTTATTTTACAGTGCAGTGGAAATTAATTTTAATAGAGAAATAGAATGACAGAGTAATTATGCAGCTTCTGGTGAAATGGCGTGAAAGTGAGAAGATTAATAAAATTTTCATTTATGATATTTAAATCTAAGGATACACTGATATTTAAATTCTGGCTGATACAGATAAATAATAATTTTTTTATGGGCAATAATCTATAAATGGATAGTAATATAAGTCTATAGTACTTTTTTAAAGAAAATATTTTAAAATGAAATTAAATAAGCATCACAACATAGTAATGCACAGCATGAAAGATGGAAAAAGGAGGGACATCTGGGATGATTGTTAAATAAAAATAGTAAAAATGAAAATTGTAGAATGAAAGGAAGGGAACATGATGAACCGAATGCACCCCTTTTTACTGCCCAGATTAGAACTGTTTTGTTGCCCTTTACCCTTCAGATCTGTTATGGATGAGTTAAAGCAGAGGTCATTTTGCCTTATTGCTTCAACTTTTTCCATCCTTATGAAATAGATAAAGAATTGGCAAATTGTCTGTCCTTCTTTCTTATTCTAATGACCATTCTTATCATTTGCATAACATTTTTTCCACTGCTTTTAAATTCACGCCACATGAGTCATTGTGCCCTTTTTATTACCTAAATTTATTTTTGACCTTTTCACCATTTTCCCTTCCTCATTTCACGCTCTGCTTGGCTACATTTTCTTCTAGCTATTTCTCTTTTTGAACATTTTTAATACACCTTTTTTGACTTCTTAATCCATTTTTTAATAGTAACAGTTTTGTGCCGTTTGGTGAGGTATAGGCTGTGCAGACATACGAACTGGCATCGTGATGCATTGTGGGATAGTGGATGTGTTCGGTTTGAAGCACAAATACTCCTATGTATTGATCTGCATGGGGGCATTTTATTCACAGTCACGTACAATCAGTGCAATAGGAAATGCTGTGTAACCATGCATTACATATGACAATCTTTCAGTTGCAGCGCTCAGAAAATTACACATTGTTGAGTATGCTAGTAATCTTTAATCACTTTCAGCTGCTGATTTAGTGAGTTCACTGAAGTTAAAATACGATTGTGCTCTATTTTTAAAGCAAATTGTCTTTATTATGTCTATATCTAACAGGCATGTACCTAGACAGCTCACTAAAATGGGAACTTGATCACATTTCCTCACTTTTGCTTGAGAGGAATCACTGGATGAGGAATGCTCCTTTGCGTTTTGTTGTGGTCACTTTATAAAACCAGTTTTTCGCCCAGTAAAATGTTAGATTGCAATAAAGTTTGACAAGAAATCTTACAATAGATAAGTGGTAGTTAGGTTTTCTGTAATGAAATGCAAACTAAAGTTTCTTCTGTTTTTCTTCTCTTCAATATTCTTTCTATGTCTGTTGCCTCCTTCTCCACATTTTCTCCCTCCCTATCTTTCATTCCTGTTTCCATCATAGGACGATTCTTTAGCGCCTGTGACATCTGACCCACAGTCTCTCAGTGTTTCTGTGGCGTCTGGAAGTGCAACAGGAAGTGGAACTGAGGAGGAAGGAGCTGGAAAGGCTCAACCCAAAAGGCTCCATGTTTCCAATATCCCTTTTAGGTTTCGGGACCCAGACCTCAGGCAAATGTTTGGGGTAATAGAATTAGTTTTTGTCCTGAATGTAATGCATTACTCATCAAAAAGTTTCACATTTTTGTAATACAATTAAAGTCAGTGGGGTCCAAAACAACACTGGAACCATCTGACTTTCATTGTATGGACAAAAAAAACAAAACAATTTTTTTTCAAAATATCCTCTTTTGTGTTTCACAGAATAAATACAGTCATACCGAATGTTCATTTTTGTGTGAATTATCCCTTCAGCTAAACCCCTTCTCACATGAAAAATGTTTAGTCAATATCTGTCTTTCATCTCTCAGCAATTTGGCAAGATTCTAGACGTGGAGATCATCTTTAATGAGAGAGGATCAAAGGTCAGTAGGTTCCCAGTTGTGTCGAGTTAGTCGCTTCTTTATTTGAGTTTCAATTGGGATTCAATTTGATTTCAATCCTTTCTTTAGGGTTTTGGATTTGTGACATTTGAAAGTGCAGTGGAAGCAGATCGAGCGAGAGAGAAGCTCAACGGAACAATCGTCGAAGGAAGGAAGATTGAGGTATGAGGGTGATAAGTTTCTGCGTTGGGAGAATGGACAACTGAGCAACTGAACAACTAAATAATTCTGCTTCTCAGGTGAACAACGCCACAGCGAGGGTGGTAACAAAAAAGCCTCAGACGCCATTAGTGAACGGTGAGATTCCTTCATAACATTCTGCCCAAAATTTTACGCAGTATACTTGTTACTCCTTTTTTTTTGTATGAAAATAAAGGGTTGGTAAAATTCAACTACTCACCTATATGTCAATTCCTGTAGCTACTGGGTGGAAAATCAATCCAGTAATGGGAGCCATGTACGCCCCTGAACTTTACACAGGTATATTTCATCTTGACTTTTAATCCATTTTTTAGTTAAAATATAATAGCTACCAGAAACTTCCTGCTCTAGATTGACCGTATGTAATTTGAGTTAATTTTCACTTTTTTGGTTTAATAGTTGCCAGCTTTCCTTACCCTGTTCCCACACCGACCTTGGCCTACAGAGGCTCTGCCCTCCGTGGACGTGGTCGGGCAGTTTACAATACAATCCGTTCAGCTGCAGCCGCCGCCACACCAGCCGCAGTACCAGCCTATCCAGGGTCAGTAGCTCTTGTTATGACCATTGTTACCATAAAACATTTAGTTAGTATTTATAGGTTGAAAAAGCAAAGTAAACCTTTCATTGCACATACAATTGTGCTCATAAGATTACATATCATACATAAATATGTTAAGAATTTTAACTAAATAAGAGGGATCATAAAAATTGCATGTTATTTTTATTTAATACTCTCCTGAATAAGCTATTTCACATAACAGATGTTTATATATACTGCAGGGGGTATGTAATCTTTTTACAATTAAATGTAAAGCTCAATTACATTAAGCTTACATTTAATTGTATTTTTTAAAATTGAATTTATGCCATTATGTAATTTACTACCTACTTTATGTCTCCTGCAGAGTGGTGTATCAAGATGGATTGTATGGTGCTGAGGTCTATGTAAGTTAGCAGTCAACTTCTCTTTATTTACCAGCATCTCTACGAGCATTTCCACAAAAATGTGATTGTTCAAAAAAACTAAAACCACAAGATGTGTTATGAATAACAGTGGTTTTAGTGTTTAAAGGTATGGGTTGGTAAAGTTTTGGTTTATGAGAAGTAGATAATACACTGCCAGAATCTTGTGATGCACTGTTGTCTAAATATAGACTTCTGCTACAACTAACTTCAGTTTCTAAATAAAATGTCACTAAAAAATTATCTTCAAAGAGTTGTATTGACTTTTTGATCAGCTAATATTTCCTTTTTTTATCAAACCTAACTCGTTGCTCAACTGTAACCTTGAATTTGGATGTTTTGAAATTGAATTTCAAATCCAAAATGAATTTTAAGTTGATAACCTAACACAAGGTTGCTCCATTGGGAGAGTTCATGTAGTAAAAATGTTTTACAATTCAAACTGTTTTCTGAATGAATAACAATGTAATGCAATATAAACCATCCTGTTTTTAGGGAGGATATCCAGCCACATATCGAGTGGCCCAGTCCGCCTCAGCAGCTGCAGCAGCCACATACAGTGATGGGTAAGAACCTTAATCTATCTATCTATCTATCTATCTATCTATCTATCTATCTATCTATCTATCCCTCCACATCATCTAGTCAATTGTCCACATCATAAAAGCAGTTTCTCATTCTTTTGAACAAGCTGCGATTGCTTTGGTACATTCATGCAATTGATTATGTACATTTATCTGCGGTTTCCTACATGATCAGTTGCTATCGTCATGTTGCTCAAAATGTATTATATAGTTTTCTGTGCAACAGTCTTACCCCTCAAAACATCTAGTCTTTAGTTCATCGTATAAGTTATTAAATGCAAAATGGTTGATCTGGTTGTCATAAAGTGTCAAGCACATTTTTTACACATTATAATTAGACTTTTTGTAAATTTAGCATGAATTGTGCAGGTGAATCTTGACTTTCACTAATGAAGAGAATTGATAAACCATTTCTCTGAAATAGCTTCATCTCATAAATCTTCTGAGATTTATGAGATGGTTCATCTCATAAATCTTCTGTTGGAAAGCATATACTGTATAGACAGAGGACAACACAAGAGTTACAAATTCTGACAATGGACTTTCTTATTTTTTTTATTTTCATCTTTGTGCCCATATTTCTTTTTCCTTTTCTATATCACAATGACATTGTAATGTGCTTTTTTTTGGTCAGACCACTAGTAAAAGTGTAAAAGTGTCTCTTTCAATCAATATCCCACATATAGTAACGTGTAAATTTGTACTTTTGAAATTGATATATGGCATACTGTTCAGTACAGTAACTGTCAACCAAAATTTTGCCATAGTTTACATCAGGTAATACTAACAGAGTGCACTGTTATACTGACATTTTGACTATCTTGTTTGTGAACAATGACACAAAGACTTTTCATTCTGATGGCACTGATATGTTCATTGACATAAATACTTACTTTTGAGAGATTAACTAAAGATTTTGAGTAAGTTACAGGCTTTTGCAGGTAATCCATTGTGTGGACGAATTGTTTTGAGAAATGCACATACTTCTTTGCAAATATTAAAGATGATTCGAGAAATGCACCAAAGCAACTGAGAACAACTGTAAGAAGTGCAGCCTTCTACATTTCAATACAGTAACTGTCATCCAAACTGTTGCCATAGTTTACATCAGGTAATACTAACAGAGTGCACTGTTATGTTGACAACATGACTAAGCATTTCGACTATCTTGTTTGTGAACAATGACACAAGGACTATTCATTCTGATGGCACTGATATGTTCATTGACATAAATACTTTTGAGAGATGAACTAAAGATTTTGAGTAAGTTACAGGCTTTTGCATGTAATCCATTGTGTGGTGCTGTTTGTACAAATTGTTTTGAGAAATGCACATACTTCATTGCAAATATTAAAGATGATTTGAGAAATGCACCAATGCGACTGAGAAAAACTGTAATTAATTAATTAATTTATTTATTTTAAGATACGGAAGAGTGTATACCACAGCAACAGACCCCTACCATCACTCAGTGGGACCCACCACCACTTATGGAGTTGGAACAATGGTAAGTTACAGTGTGAAATCACCACACATGGCGAATACAGTCAGTTGTTATTAAATACACTTTCTTGATATAACGGAATGTCTGATTTCTTCTATTTCTTCTATTACAATCAGGCAAGTTTGTACCGTGGAGGCTACAACCGCTTTACTCCATACTGAATAAAATCAGCTCTGTGACTCACGTCTGACAAACAAAGAGACTTTCGCTTGCTGTGTGAACTGCTATCTGCTATCTGCGTTTGGTCTTGAGATTGTAAAAACTGCTAGTATTTATTAGGGAAAAAATGTGAATCCAGGCTGAAAATATAATGAATTATATTTAAGGACTTTTATTTAATTCTTAATTTAAGAAAATACCCCACCCAAAAAATTAATAGTACTTACTTATCAGCCAGTGTCTAACTGATCATGTTATGTACAGTACATACTGATACTTTCATTAGAGTGGCGTGATATGGAAGTTATCATAAGTTATCGAGCCTCATAGGAACAAAGAGTCCCAAAAGACTCATTTTATTACAACCTCTGGATCTGTTGCACTGCTGAAGGATGATATACAATAGATGAAGGCATACCTCTAGTGGAACTTTCCCCAGACTGAGAAATGCTAAACTCTGAACCTGTCTAGTATGTTTAGGACTGTGTGCGTGTTGGAGTGTCTTTGGAGTGTTCGAGTGGGTGTAATTTTTCTGCTGTCACAAGCAATACTGTGAGATACAGCAATGGCACTGGGGTTGGTGATATACAGTATGTTCTCTCTCAATGTAATCTACCTCTGAGCTAAACACCTCTTTATTCTAAACTAATGCAAACTATTCACCTGCTTTCTTATGGAGCTATATCAAAATCATTGATTTTGTTTTTTTACAAAAAAAAATAGGTGCTTTCCTCTTTGATTTTCTCCAATCAATTCCTGTTAAGTCACGCTGTTCAGTCTTTTGTGGTCAACTCGTCATTCAAATGCTATTTTTGCTTCAACAACTACTTCTGTATACTTTTTCTGCCTTTATTCTCTTTTGTCACTTAAACTCCTTTCATGCTTATTTTAACCTGTTGTTTGCTTTCAAATACTTGATTCTTTCTTAACTAAAGGCTATGTGCATTAATATCTGCTTAAGATCATATTAAATGCCAAATTACTGAATAAAAAATTAATCAACATTTGTTTTGAAGACTTTTTAGATGTTTTCTATCATCTCTAGAGAAATGTTCTGTGCCTTTCTTGCGTTCTTTTTTCTTCCTTTTATTTTTCTTTCTTCTTTTTTCTTTTTCTGTCTTTCTTTCTTTACTTGATTGTTTTCTTCTAAACTTCCTCCTTTAGTGTCTCTAGAATCTCCTTTACACTTTGATAATAATTTCTACCCCAACGCCTTTTAATATTTCCTGCTTTATTTGTTTTTTCCTTTTATTCTCTGGCTGACTGGTTTATTCTTGTTATCCATTTCTCTGTTTCTCTTCCTGTTTTATCTCTATTTCATTCCTTCTGTTGGCTGATTTTGCTGTGCTTTTACTCATGCAAATCTTTTTGATATTGAAATCTGATATTTTGACTCTTCTTTCACTTTTACTCTCACTGTGCACAAGGCTCATGATTTATTCTTATTGCTAATTTTCCTACTAATTTTGTGGCTTGTGCGCTTTTCATTTTCTGCATGCTTTCTTTTCACCTCTCTGCTCTTCATTTTTCTTACACTTCCTTTCTGTCGAATGTTCTCTTTCTTCATTTCTTCTGCATTTAACCTGTTATGCTTTAGATTTCCCTGCATTTCTAGTAGTGTTCTATTTAGAGTTTATTTATTTTCTTTAGTTTAGTTCATTTAATAATTTCCTTCTCTTTTTCTCTCTCTCTTTCTACAAGACAGCTTGATTATTTTATCTCACAGCTATTACAGGACCCTATGATGTCATTGCTGTATCATGTTTTATGTTTTTGTTCTTTTTCAACTCACTAAAGTGTAAGCTACTCTGTGGCTGAATTGTACATTAAAACGGTTTAATTATGTAAGATTTCTGTCTGGTCACTGTAGAATATTAGTCGTTGCATTATGTTAATTTTGAAACCTAACAACAAATAACACTTTTTCTGAGAAGGTGAAGTCTGGTAATGACATATGAAATATGTAATGCCACACCTATAAATCATAGGGACTTTTCCACACATCTTCTCTTTATTTTGCTTAAAGCATTAAGGCAATGTAATGACTCTGAAAAGCTAGAACTGGCAAAACCTGCTCACTCCCATTCCATGACTGTGATTATATTAATATGTAAACATAACTGTAACCTAACTGTAAAGAAGTTGTCACTTTTAACTTTTTCTTTGAGTGCTCATTTTACATGTAAACACACAGTACAGCCAATGTCTTTAATTGATGTGTATCTTGATTTTGTCAGATGACGTTGTGGTTATAAATCATTACAGAAACTTGGAAATGGCTTTGGAATTGCTTGGTTAAGATATATTCTCAAAAAAGCATCTACTCAGATAGTATGCGATTTTGGACACAGCAGAAGATATTACAAGCAGGTATTCTGAAATATTCGGTGTCTGCGATGATCCGTTTTACTGAATTAAATTTTACTGAAATTAATATTAATGAATTTCCTTTTGGAGCAACAAAAAATATTAATGTACATGCTCCCTGGATCACAGAAACTTTTTTCAACAAGGTAGTTATGTTTTAGTTTTGAAACTATTTTTTTTTAACCTTTTTTTTTTTACCTTGAAATACCAGTTTCAAATAATTCTGATAGTACACCAATAATAATAAGGTGAATTGCTTCTGTTTCTTTCCCACACTCCCCCCAAATGTCTGTTTTATGTAAGTTCTAAGTGCAAAATTCTGTGAAAAGCCCGGATTGCTTTACAGCAGTAACAAATGCACAAGTGCAGCAAGAGTTTGTCTTTAATGAAAAATGAGATTGAGATGCATTCCAAGGCAGTAAAACATCAAGGCACTTCAGAATCAAATGTTAGATTCACTTCTCCTGAGATGCCTCAATTTGATAATTTTTTGAAGGCAGATGTATCCTTAACTTCCTTTAATATCCCACAATCCTATTCCATGACAGTTGAACTAAAAAATAAAAATGGTTTCTGAAATTTGTGGTTGGTGGTCAGTTTGTGACCAATTTTTTCGATGTCATAGCAAGAAATTAGTGTTGTAGTAATTAAATATTTGCTATTCTCTCTATTTTGGTTGTAGATCAATAAACCTGTTATGATGCCTTAAAAATATGTTCGAAAAGGGTTCATGAGACGCTGCCTGCAAAGTCATTGTCTGCTAAGGCAGCGAGGCATCAAGTCAGCCACCTAAGCTTTCAGACCCAGCCATTATTGGGATTTACCAAGGTCCACAGTTCTACCATGGGAGTAAGTGTAATGGTCAACTTGGATCATGTGTGCCTTGATAACCAATCACATCACGGCCTTGACGTCATTGAATTTTCGTCAAGAGTTGTGCATGCTTCTTAAATGGAATGCTGCATACTACTCAGAATGCATCCTTCCAAGTCTAGTCCTTCTGAGTCTTGCTTGAGATGCTCAGCATTAAACGCTAGTAAGTACCCATGGCTACATCATAAATGTTTCCAGCCCTGCGGGCACAGCATGAAATTACTATTAAAATTATAATTTGAAGAATATATTTATATTAAAAATATTTATATTAAAAATCCTTATATATACTGACTTTCTATTAATGCAATACATGTAATGACAAACATCTGTGGTCTCCCAGTGTTTTACATTATGCACAGTTTAGCATTATGTGATTCAACATTTACAAAAAACAATGTCTTCATCAAAATTATCTTTTTTTTGTCTTGCAATACATAATGAAATTGGACAAGCTCAGTGCCATTTCATTTTCAGCTAATTAATTTTCATGAAGTTGAATTTGTGCAAAGGATTGTGGGTGATTAAAGGACATGAAGGATGCACCTGATGCATCCTTCAAAATAGGCCAAATGAAGGATGTGAAAGCAAAACTGTCTACCAATGCCACCTTGGAGGTGAGGTCAGAAGTGGGAACATCTGAGTTGAAATGTCCCACCTCCAACCTCAGTGAGTTCCAGTCAATCACATGTCATGTTCACATGTTACAGAGTGAGTTAACTCTCTTATTGTCAATACAAGATCCCCAAATGAATGCAACTCTTGATGGAAATAAATGTTGCGATGTTGCATAACGTTGTTGAAACAAAAACACAATGAATGCACAATACAGCATATATCAAAGCTAAAGGCGGTCCAACAAATAAGAGTGTGCAACTTTTAATATAGACGGGCAGTGTAAAGTCTACTCCAGCACATCCCAAAGACTTTCAATGGGGTTAAGGTAAGGACTCTGTGGTGGCCAATCCCTCAACCTGGTGAATCTTGGTATTGTCACCCTGGAACATGGACATGGCCATCAGTGTTGCCAACTCATTTTCAGAGAAAGTTGCTAAAAGAAGGTCGGTTTGTTGCTAAAAGTTGCTAAATGACGTTGTGATGTCATTGCGCGATGACGTCTTTGCGTAATCATGACACAAAATTGTCTCACAACATCAAATCTCAGCAAAAAATATATTTTATATATGATAATTTAGATTTGCTTGTAAAATAATATGCATAATATAATATTAAAATATAAATACCTGTATTTTTTAAAATACATTGAATTATTGAACACATTTAAGTTTTTTTAATAGCTAGCGAACTAGTAATAGGCACACATTCTCAACAGTTATGCTTTAAGCAGTGTACTAGTAGTTAGTTAGTATGCTACACTCACTTTGAAAGCTGAAGCTGCGATTATGGTAAGGGGCCTTACATTTCTGACATGTCCTTGTGGTGTTTGGCCAATCACAATGCACTGGGTCAGCTGGCCAATCAGAGCAGACTACGCTTGTCAAAGGAGGGGGCTTTGTTGAAAACTAAGCATTTGAGAGAGGCGGGGCATAGAGGACCTACAATAATGTACAGTATTTTAAAAATAATGTGTTTTTTGAACATTAAAGCATGTCAACATATTCTGTTACACCAAATACACCAAATAATGATCTTTAAAATAGCATCATATGACCCCTTTAAAATCTTATGTAGCCTATTTGGCTATTTAAATCCAGACAACGAGTTTTTTGGCCAGGCAATGTTTGCGCAGCTCGATCTATAAAATGTGCATAGATTAACAATTATATTCTAAGTTTAACTTCTTATCTTCGTAATTACCTTGTTGCAAACCGTTTCCGTGATCTGAGCATACTGTAACACGAAACATACGGGAACCTGGAAACTGCTCCGCCTGGCTGCGACATGCGGGATTAGTTCATAGACTACGCTACTAAGAACAACTGTCTCTCTGTCAGACTGTCAAACTA